ACGTGGTAAGATTTTTTGGCTCCCGAGGACAGTGTTCTATCGAGGTAGAGGTGTATATAAATACAAACTTGGGCCTGCCTTTAGGGAGCTGGCAAGTTGCTGATGTGGCCCTCTTTGTCACAAACTTTGTGCACTCCTGATCTGCAGCTTACACAGAAGCACAGTCTGAAGTGCAAAGAAAGGCATTGCCACCTTCCCCAGCTCATCCTAGTCTTGGATTTAGCATTTTCTATCCTCCAGGCACAAGCGGTCTTTTCATTGCCCTTAAAGCATCTTTCCAGATCCCTTTATATTAATAACTGTCACTGACAAAGTACATAATCAAATGGTGCCGCTGTTTTGGGCTTAGAACAAGAGAAGAGAAGGGGAGCCACTCAGTATAAACCTATCAGACCAGATCGTTGTCCAGCAAGCACCATCTAGTGGACTATTTGATTTTATACTATATATTGTGCAGTCAGGAAAAAAAATGACAGTCTCTGTATCTTTCTGAATCCTGCAGATATTCACATCCTTTGAGAGTGTGTACTTGGCTGGCAGTCAGACAGTGTGTGGCCTAACAAACCAAGCAAAGGATTGAGAGGCAGGATTGCTGGTTTCTATTCTTGGCTCTGATGCTGACATTGTGTGACCTTGAGAAAGTTCCCTTCCCTCCCTCTCCTGTCATCAGTTTCCCCATCTGTAAAATGGGGGTGAGACTGATCTTCCCTAACAACTATTGCGAAGTGAATTTGTTAGTGTCTGAAAGGTGATGACTGGAAAAATGGAAAGCATCAAACTGCAGGCATGCAAAAGGTTGAACTACTGTGGGCTCGCTAGCTAGGAGATTAAGAGTGAGATTGAAAGGTGGGTGAAAGGCTGAATCCAGGACTTCATAAACACAGAAACATGGCCCAACTTAAAAAAAAATGGTGGAAATCAGCTGCTGTGGTTTTTCCAGCTGGCCTGAGCCAGTGAGTGCCAACATGTATCCTATAGAATCATAAACATAGAACTCAGGAGGTTGTCTAGTGAAGTCCATGACCCCCAGGCCAGGGCAGGATTAACTATACCTGCCAGATGTTATCTAACCTATTCTGAGAGTGGAATTCATCCCTCCCCCTTTGAGGAGCAAAATAATTCAGTGAACCCAGCTGCCTTTCTGCACCACACTCAAATGGAGCCAATGCTGAGGCTGGCAAGAGTTAACTTATTTGATGCCTTTGTCTTGCAGCACTCTACATGCTGTGAAAGTAACATGAAGCCAATGAACTCGGTGAAGAATTGGCCCAGCTTTGTTAGCTACTTGTTTTGTAATGGTTTTGCGCTGTGGCTAGAGGGAGAGTGAGGAGCAGCAGAAATGGAGGAGCTTGTAAGAATAAGAGAGCACCAAAATGAAGGAAGGGGAAGAGGGGCCGTCGCAACTCCTCACGTGCCTTGTCTAGTCACGACCAACCAACAGGGTTTTGTAGGCACTACGGTAGAGGTGAGGCCTATGAATTATATTCAGGAGTTTTCCCCAGGCAGCATGGAAGGAAGCAGGATGGTGTTTAATGAAGAAGTTGAATGGTGGGCAAGGCAGCCAGGGGATGCTGGCAGATCGAAGGCAGCAGCTGACACCACCGTGAGTTATTAGTTAGGCTGAGATAAAGAGGGAGCCAACGAAGGGACTGATGTGATCAGAGAGACAAGCCATGATGATGATCTTAGCAGCAGTATTCTGGATGGACTTGCGGTGAACCAGGCTGAAATAGTCAAGCTGTGAACAATTCCATCTAACTCAGGACACACAGGAAACTTCATTGGAGAACCTGCTTTCGTGCTATTTCCACCTGTTTTGCAGAGCTAAGTTCCATAGTTCAAATAAAACTCCAAGGTTCTTAGTACTTTAGGATGTTTCTTGGAATGGTTTGAGTTCCACTCTTTCCTACATTTCTTCCCCAGCCCGGATCAAATAGCATCAGGACTTGATCCATGCTGTGTGCTGAGAAATGTGCTATGATTGGTGCCATCTGCTGCATTTACAATGTTTGAGTTTGATGCCAAATTATCATAGTATCAGCCTGTCAGTCCAGGCTCCCCCCAGTTCCTGTACATCTTCCCAGCAGCAAGGTCATTGCTCAATTGCAGTTGGTCTACAAGCACCACTGTAGTGCTTAGCAGGAGCGCCTGGCCCAAGGTGACCTGGGAGTCCCTTTCACCAAACACAGTAACAATGGAGCGCTCTCATTGTCAGGGAAAATGGAATGGCTGGGCCAGTTCTCAGTGCTCCCGCTGGTACATGGAGAGTGGGCTTTTGTTTGATGTTTGTTTGCTATGGGTCACAGACAATGAATACCAGTTTCAAGGGGAATACAGGCATAGCCTAGAAGAGAAAACACGTCACATGGATGCTTTATAATATGGGTTTGTTAACATCTTGGGCACTTCTCTCAATGGCATTTTATATGAGGGTATCTTTGCTAATGACAGCGTTGCAGTCTCACTCCCCTTGAGAACAGGAAATGGCAGAGGACATTTCTTCACGGAATTCTCTGTAGATGAACATTCTCCATTGGCCCCCTGCTGAGAAATGTTCTTTTTTGAAGAATGGGTTAAAAATCATTAATCCTAAAAAACCACCACCTGTGACAGATTTACTCAAAAGGAAGGAAAGGGACAGATTGGGGAGGGCGTGAGAGGGCGGGGAGTGTGTGTATGGGTAGGAGAAAGCCACAGGAAGGGGATATTGAGTAATGTGGTTTGCAGGGGGATGTGGGAGGGAGAAAGTGAGAAAATGGGTGTGGGTAGGCGTAGAGAAACGCAGGGGACATGAGGGAAACTTAGGTGCACGTACAGGGGAATGTGGAGGCCAGGAGCTGGGGGAAACTGGCCAGTACACTCTGGCTGGTTTGGGCTGCTCCAGAGTAGGGTAAAAGCAGAAAGAGCCTCCTGCTGGAATCTGGCCCTAAAAGTTAAAAGAAAAAAAAGATTGAAGCTATCTAATAGCCTTAACATTCTCTTTGCATTTCTTTAGGGTTCATGTATGAAACTTATTAATAAAAAGCAATACAAAGGAATCCTCAGATAAAAACATTGAGCTGGAATTAAAAGGTAAAACATGACAGGGATTTTGTAATTATCAGAAAGCCCAAGAGATTCAGAGTTAAGGCTAAACTTAAAAGAAACCCAAACCGTGTTAAGGAATGGAATGCACAGGTAAGGCACCCAAATAACCTTAATTGTGCCTTCTAGTGAGATGATGAGGGAGAAAAGTCAACAAAATGAATTTGTCTAAAAATCAGTTTAATCTAATCTGGGACTACAAACACTACTATGCATTAATAATAGTCGTATAGTTATTGCATGGCATCATTAGAGGTAGAACCTGTTGGTTCAAGCTGACGCTTGGAGCTGCGGTGCAACACAGATGATGTGCGCAACACAGACAATGACGCATTGTTGATGAATGCCTGCTGACTAGGTTCAGCGGTGGCCTAGAAGAACTGCATCACGCCACTGAAAATGCCATCGCTTGGCTAGAGGATTATGCACATGCTAAATAAAATAAATCACTACGGGGAAAGTTATGGTTCTTTAGGTGCCTTAGCTGTGTGTTTCCAGACTGCAGCATGTTTGGATTTCTTTTAAAAACATTAACTCTGAACTTCCTGGATTTGCAATGCTTGTTTTGGGGATAATTACAATATCCCTGTAATATATTTACCCATAAATTACTGATCTATACTCAACCTGAACTCCAGATGTATGTAGATTTTATCTGGGAATTCTCACTGAGGTTCCGCAGCACAGAATGAAAGTACAGACACATACACCTGCTACAACCTATTTGTAAAGAAACTGCAGTAGCTCTCAAACCTGCTACCCACTGATCTTGAGGTTTACAAGCAGAGATTGCAATAGTGCTTGGCAGGGCACATGCAGGCCGTTGGCCCTTCTATCACAGGCCTGTAGCTGGTGCTCAGTGCGGAGTGAGCTTGGGAAATTATTTGCCCTGTGAAAAAAAGCAGATGAAAATGGAATGGGAGGGCGGGGGTGTCATTTGGTAATTTAAAAAAAAACCCAAAGGTTTTGATTTTTGACAAATGTAAAAACAGAGACCCTTCAGTTTTCAAGTGTGTTTTTTGGTGAAAATTTCAGTTTAGTCAAAAGTGCCATTTTCTGCCAACAGAACGTTTTGACAGAAAATTTTCATTCAGCTTCAGTGTTATTGCCCTTCATCATCTAGTTTGTATGATGTGTATATAGTCTCTCTGCCCCATTCCAGACTCTCTGCCTATGGCAACACTGGCCCAGAAACAACCAATGAGGAAAAACCCGTAAGTTGATGTACACAGGTGCTGATTTTCTCCTACATGCAGTGTGGCCTAGTGGACTAGGATTCAGATCTGAGTTATTGCCAGCTCTGCTATGGGCCTGCACTGTGACCTTGAGCAAGTCACTTCACTTTTCTCTGCCTCAATTTCCCCATCTATAAAATACACAATACTTATCTCCTTTGTGAAGCGCTTTAACACATACAGATGAACAGTGCTATGAAAGAGCTAATATTATTAATATTATATAGGGTGCAGAAACATGCTCTACTACAGTCTGCACTTCTAAACATAGCTGTGAGGAAGAAGCCTTCAAAATTTGCTTCAAGTGGAACCATCTATGCAATACTCAGATTCAGCAATGAAAGACACCCTGCCCAACACACAGATTATTTACTTATCCTTCCCACACAAGTAGGCTGGTTTAAGACAGAGCCCTAGCTACATATTGTTTCTTTAAGTTACTGGGCCCTACTTTGTCTTAAGTATGTTGCAGTTAAAACAAGAAAGGATCTCCCAAACACCACAAATCCCCTGATTCAATCATAAAAGGCTATTCTTCTAAGACATATAGCGCAAGCAGTACAGGCAGCTCAAATGTCCACAGCACAGACCAAAGAACAGAGGGCGTTTATTTGATCTACAATGAATTCTTTGAGCTTTGCAGAGTTTAATGCATTCTTTTAAAACACTAAGCTCAGAGGCTATTGTCTGTTTTTCACTTTATTAAAAAACTACACTGTATGGTGCAAAGAAACATTTGATCAAATACACAGCAATGAGAATGGCCAAATTCCCACCCCTGGCTCTGAGGGAGCACGTCATCCACTCATTACTACTGAATTTCCAGCCCATGATTCTCCATAGATTCCTTATAGTCAAGTGTACATCATTTCTGCCATGTGGGACATTTTCTTGGGAATATATAAGTAATATTCCATGTATCCTGAAAGATCTTCAATTGTCACATCGTCCACGAAGGCTCGAGCTTGCTCAGAACAAGATCGGGGAGAACCTGATGAAGCCATACCAGAGGGCGATTTGTTCTGCAGAGACTGGGAATGGACTTCTAGCACTGCCTTTTCACATTCTGACAGGACGCTCCGTAAGCCAGAAAAAGAGTACACTTCCATGTCTTGCCACTGTCTGCACTGGCATTCCTTGCCCTCGCAAGGACACTGTTTGCTATCGCTGAGCACAGATAATGACTGGAAATCTGAAGGCTGGCTAGAATCCAGGTTGGTTTCAAAGGACGAAGAAACAGCAGCAGAATTCTCTCTTGAATTCTCCAAAGGCTGTTCAATTGTGGAAGCTCCCAAAGGTTCATTTCTGGCTCTTCTGCAATCACTGGCATCAAAGCAGGAATCATACTTGTCCCCTGTACACGGTCCTTCTGCAACACAAATGTCTGAGCTGATATTACTCTTTGAAGTGTCTGGCTGGCTTTTGTGTTTCAACTGGCTGCGGGCAGAAGATGCTTTCATACTGCAGTAGGTAAACTTGGGAGGATGCAGGACAGGAGACTTGGAACGCCTGCGACGCTGGGTTCTTGATGACCCCCTGGAGGGCTTCCTCACACACCTGTTAGTGAACAAAATATGAACAATTAGGTTACTCAGAACTCAATTCCGGAGCCTAATGCTTTCCAAAACAGGACCTCACGTACAGCAAGACAGTGTCAAGTATCCGACCTGAATGATGATTATCTGTACAGCTACAGAAAAACCCAGCACGCCACTGGTATCTGAATACCCTCAGGAGACTAAATCACAGAAGAGAATTGACAAGAGATATTCAGAATGCACATTCACAATAGCTACAAATGCCAGTGTTTTGGTGATTAAACTCTTGTGTGTTTAAATAAAAGGGAATGGGGAGAGAGAACTGACCTTCCTTCCACCCTAGATTATGCTGGAAGCAGAAGAAAGTGGGAGAACAGGATCTAGAGAGTATTGTAAGAAGGATTGTGAGGGAGCTGATACCCCAGAGGAAGGATGCTTTCCTGCTGTAAGATTGTTTTTGTAACTGAACACACCAAGCTGAGGAGGTTTTGAAGTTCCTGTTGAGGGAAGCAGCAACAGACTCAGGAGAAAGGAACTGATGCTGGGTTTTATTTCATTTATATTGAATTACAAAATGATCATCCAGGACACGTAAGGATCTGGGTGGAAGAAAGGAGCGGAAAGGACTGAGATGACAATTGTCACAGATACGGATACTCAGGAGGATGTAATTGATATGATGACAGAAGAGGAGTTGATATGGAATATTGTTATAAATACTGTAGGAGCAGAAATGTATTGATATGTAACCTCGTTATTGAGAGAGTATAAACTTTTACTGGGGTAGTGGAATGTTTATTGCACACCATAATGCTTGGCTTCAATAGGGGCTGTAGGAAGAACAAACAGGGAAGCAAAACAATGGCTTCCCAGATAAGAACATCTAGGTACATACTTGAACGACAATGAGCCATGGTGTTAGGATCAGGGATCCTGTCTCCTCTGTTTTCATCAAGTTGCAAACCTCCCAGATCAAAGGGCTACAAACAGTTAGGGAGTATTTTGATTCGTGGGAAGATGGAGAGGGTTGTCTCTGGTCAGCATCTGTCTAAGGAGACAAGCTGTCACGGACAGGCTCTGTGGAGGAGTCTGAAGGAACTGGTCCTTCCCAGATCTAAGAAGTGGTAAGCCTTAAGGGGCACAGCTAGATATACGTACAGTCTGTCCTATATTTTTTAAGATCTGTTTTCTATTAAATGCTTTTGTGCTAAATAACTAATACTTTGCTTTAAGGAGGCTGTTTGGTCACTGCTTACCTCTGTCATTGCCCCAGAGGGAACAGAATTCCAGGGTCTGAAAATATATCAGATCTGCTGAGGTAATCAGTTAGTACCAGGGGACTGATACCTGAAGCCTGGTCTGAGAATGGAAGAATCACACAGTTCGACTCAGAGCCAGGTAGCAGCTAGATAACTGAGAGCTGAAGGATGATATTACTCAAAAACATCAGGAGTGATCAGAGGTGCAGTTAGCCCAGTAACTGTGACACATATAGATAGATACCAGTATCTCTTGAAGGGAGACAATCAAACAGGATTTGCTTCAAGGGTTTGTTAAAAGGCTATTAAAAAGAATCAAGATGCACTCTAAGTTAAGGTTTCTATAAACAAAAAAGGGGGAAATAATATGGCTCAGCTGCTTAATTAAACAAGCAATCCCTGTCTGAAATGATGTTATGCATGTTTTCATCATCTCTAATTAACAAGGCATAAATATACAGTTCAGTTAACAATGTGTTTTACCCATGCCAAGTCTCTTTGGCACAGACAGGTTGAGGTTTGGTTCCATCCATAGCTGTTCTTATCGGTGCTCTCAGACTTGTTCCCTCATCCACAGACAGAGATGCGGTAGATCTGAGTGAGAGGAAAAATGTTACATTAAGACAGTGCCACAACATATGTCTCAAAGTGTCTCCACATTGATGTTGCGCCCTGCTCCTCTCAGAAGGCTACATTAATGGTAATGGGATGTAAATCCATGTTCCAATTTCTATTGTCACAGGTTCATTGCTAAACAGAGACTTATGGTTTCACTGAAAACAGGAGGACAGGATGTCTATAGCAGGAGACCAAGGAGCCAGTGGGAAGGAAGGGAGATGTGGCAAGAGAAGTGAAGAGGCTACCTATCCATTATTCCGCTCAGACAGAAATGAAATGCAAGGCAAGTCCTCTATAGGACTCCAGGCCCTGTTTTTCAGAACTGCAAGCATACAATTCCATTACCAGAAATGCCTTGTTTGCCTAACTCTCTCAACTGCAGTAAATGCAAATAGCCAGTCAGAAGTCTAATGAGCCATGTATACATACAAACCCTGTGATTAAACATGTGTTTCCACCCCAGAGGTAACTACATTGCAGTGGTCATTGAAATGACTCCTTTATGTCCCTTACTTACCTGAGGGGAGATTGGAGACTTAGGTAATGCCTCTAAAGCATTGAACAATGGAAGTACAAAGTGTTTTTCATTTTATTAAAACTTGACAAACTGAGCTACTTTTCTACAAGCTCACTTACCCTGCTGCATCTACTCTTAGCTTTTTGAAAGCTGTCTGCAGACTCTCTTCCTCTCTGTCTTTATCTTCTGAGTCCATTGATGAGCTGTCAGAGTAATACTGATTGGGCCATGGAAGTGTGCACTGAAAAATATACAAATTGTGATTTGATGTTGGGAACTAAAGACGTAATGGTCTCTGAATAAAACTCCACACAACTGAAATGAAACACAACATGGTGACTCATTCCTCTAATGTCAGTCCCATTGCCTTCAGAGTAAAACCATTCCATTAATATTATATATTCACCATGAACTGTGTCCTCAGCATTGTTCACAACACAGAGGAAGACACAACCTCTGCCCTGAAGAATTACAATCTAAGTCTTGCCAAGTCCCTACACGCCGTTTTAACACAAGATGTACTTTGGCAGTTGATATTAGTTTATAAAATAGTAACACTGCCATTTCAATTTCACTTAAGCACTTGCCATTGACAAAAGGGACACTGACCTCAATCAGCCCTCCTGAGTAGTTTCTGGTCAGCATGCTGAACCAACTCACGGAGGAACCTTTGTGTCAATAAGCTAAAGAGGAGCTACCGAGAAAGAGTAAGAGAAGTGAAGCCTATAAAAAGTATATATGTTATCTGCTTGAAATCATACAGAGAAGAGTTCATTTCAGTCTATAGGGCTACACCACAGACAGGAGTGTAGGATTTAGAGACTAAACAGTTAATTGAGTTGTACTGCTTTTGTAACCTGTTACTTTAGATAGGCCACACTTAGCCTAGACAAGGAGATATAAATAACAGGTAGAGCCCTACCAAATTCAGGCTTCAATTAGGTCAATTTCACTGCCACGGGGGGGCGGAGGTAGAGGGGGGCACGGGGGGAGGGGGATGTCTTTAAAAAAAAAAAAGGTAAATTTCATGATTGCAGATGTTTACATCTGAAATGTCACAGTGTTGTAACCCCAGGGATCCGGATCCAAAAGGGGATTGTGTGGGGGTCCCAAACCTGTTCTAGAGGGGTAACAGGATTGCCATTCTCACTTCTGTGCTGCAGAGTTTCCTGCAGCTGGAGGAGGCTCCCGGAGGTGGAGGTAGGTCCGATCTCCCTAGTGTTGCTGGAAGCACTCCAACCGGGCATTCCTAGCTGCTAGTCAAGGCTAGTGATGGATTAATGCATGGGCCCCGGGTCAGTTTGAAAAATGGGTGCCCCAGCCCTGGCAGGAGCCACAGGGTGGAAGCCCTGAGCCCAGGCAGGAGCTAGGAGTGGGGGCAGAAGCCCCAAGCCTGGGCAGCCTGGAGCCCAGGCAGGAGCTGTGGAGGGCAAAAACTCCAAGTCCCAGCTGGAGCCGTGCGGGGTGGCAGCCCCATCCCAGGTCCCCAAGCCCGGGCAGGAGCCATGGGGGGGTGAAGGCAGCCCTAAGCCTGACAGAAGCTGTGGGGGCTGGAACCGCAGGGGGTGGAAGCACCAAGTCCCGGCTGGAGCCTGGGTGCCCCCAGCCCCGGTGGGAGCCACTGGTGGGGGGACAGCAGCCCTGCGCTTGAGCACATAGAGCCTGGGCAGGACGAGAAAGGGGGCAGCTCTGAGCTGGGCTGGAGCTGTCTGGGGGTGGCAGCCCCCAGCCCAGGTCTCTGAGCCCAGGCAAGGGCCACGGGAGGGGGGAGCAGCCCTCAGCCCGGCTGCCCCACACCTGGGCAGGAGTCACAGATGGCAGCAGCCCCCAGCCGGGGTGCCCCGAGCACTGGCAGGAGCCGTGGGGGGTGGCAGCCTGGAGCCCAGCTCTAGGGCTGCTGCAGCGCAGAAGTGAAGGGGGTACTCACTTCTGCGCTGCCTGTGGAGATAGATCTGATCTCCCTCCGATAACAGCCGTGCAGGGGAAGTACAAGTCTTGTCCCTCCACTGCCCGGTTTATTTCTGGGAAATCTGATTTCACAGGGTTGGGCTTATTTCATGGTCCATTACGTGTTTTTCTCATGGCTGTGAAATTGGTTGGGCCCCAATAATAGGAATTGAAGTGTTGGGCATAAACAGCATAATTATATGGAAGGACAGAATGTAGAAATATTTACCATTAAACAGTTGGTAGTGTTGTATATTGCTCTTGCAACTTGATCCCTGACTTGAAGGCAGGTTTCCTCCCTGCCACACCTAGCTTGGACTAGGAGCAGAAGACAATAAAGCCCACATTGGAAGAAAATACCTCTGTGTACATCTATCCCATCAGTCCTGGGCTATAAAGATTATAGAGAACAAATGAAAGCATTTTGCTGTCTGAATCTTAAGGAGGTGGCTGAGCATAGTGCTCGCTATTGAGAAACTGGCTGATCATAATGCTTGCTATTAAGAATTCACTGCTATCTGTTGTCCTAGGTGGATTTTCTCTTCTGTACACTGCCCCACTGCTACTGGAGAGCTCTCCCATAGGTCTAAGAGCTAATATCAAGGGATCACTTCCTTCCACTGCAGCAGAAGGACCAGCACCTTGATCTGGATCCTCAGACATGAGCTATGTTCTCCAATATCTATTCTTTCATTCTCTATGTCAGTGGTTCCCAAACTTTTTACTCAGGTGACCCACCAACTGCATTTAGTCTTTTTTTGCAACTGACTCAGGGGTCATATTTGGGGGGAGGAGGGGCAAAATGGGAGGCCTCCTCACCCTGCTGGGGGGCACCAACCACCCACACCAGCACCCTCTGCCTTGGCCCCACAACCCGAATCTTAGCCTAGTGTGGAGGAGAGGCCTGGGGGAAGGAGGTTGGAGAGCAAGCCCACCCTGCACTCACATACCGGTAGATGCTCCTGACAGTTACCCACTCTGGGTGTTGTGATCTGGTGCATAGGATTGCAGTGCCATTCAGGTTTGGCCAAGCCACCCCCGAGTAGCAATGCAACGCAACCCCAAACATTAGGTCACAATCCCTGGAGCAAGGAACTGGGCCCAGCCCTGAGAGAGTTTTGGGGTGAGTGCAGGGTGGGCTCACTTTCCAACCCTCCACCTACGAATCTCCCCTCTGCACCAGGTTCACAACCCATTTAGAACTTTGTTGGGACTCACCATTTGGGAAACACTGCTCTATGTGCATCATAGGCTGCAAAGTGAAACTTACAAATTGCTTGGGTACATTTCCCTCTGCTGTTCATAGTGCACATACAGAACTGGCTAAATGGCAAAAAGACATGCAGGAAAAAGGAGAGACAACAAATCAGGGTGGAAGTAGAAAGACAAAGTTAGTCACCTCAGAGCTGAACCAGGACAAAAATGCCTCAGTTGTACTCTCTGCTTATAAATTCCTGGCTTGGAGCAAGGTGCTGCCACTCTCTTTCTGCCCTGATTTAACAGCATCCCAAAGGCTATTTAAGCCTTTTAAAGGTGTGCAATGTACCTTCAGATCTGCATTAGACAGGAAGGTAGGCGACAACAACTTGACACTTTCTGTAGTGAAAACTCAACTATTTCAATTTAATAAGCAGTTGTAAATATATTACATTTAACAGATACAATAAAACCTTGCATGCCATACAATGCTAACGACCATGCTTTGTGGACAGCTGCGCTGTCCTTCAGCTTGTCATCCCCAATGTATTCAAGGGGAGTGTTCTCAGCATGTGCACCTGTTGTGTTGCTGGGTTTCCATTGTATCTATCTAGGTTTTTTACAGTTTAATCACCATGGTATCTGAGCACCATCATATCATGTTGTATATATCTGCAAAGTAGAAAGGTGTGATAAAAATATTCATAGCCAAATAGAAAATAACACAATGTGAAGTGTGATTCTTCTCTAAACGATAACTCTATAAAATGCCATTTTCTTACCCTATAGATCTGTGTGTATTCAGTCATGCTTAGTTTTCTATCAAAAACACATTTTTATTACTGTTTACTTCAGTTAGCTCTGTGCAGCTCTGGGAGAGGAAAAGAGATCCTATTCTGGGAGCTCCTGCATCAACAAATTGTTAACCACATTGCTCAATTTCTGTCCTCAGGGTATGTAAAACCATGAAAGACAACTCAAGGTAATGATGCTACACTGATGCCTGTGAAGGCATAATTTAATCTCCATAACCTGCAATTTGATTTGACTCAGTCCTGGATGAGTTTGTGGCACTGGCACGCAGGAAACATCCACCCCAACACTCACGTTACAAGTACAAAAGGCCACACTTGACTAGGAGTCATTGAAACACAAACATCGAGTCCCACAATGACTCTTCCACACAGCCTTCTCTGAAAAGTGTGATTTTATTTCCCACCCACCTACACATACGCGTTTTGTTTCAAATTTGACTCAGGCCTTGCTACACAGAAAAGTGGTACTGCTTTAACAAAGCCAGGATAGATAAAGCAGTACAATCCTCACAGTTATATCAGTACAAACGTGCTTACAGTGGTGTGGTATAAGCTTAGGGCTTGTCTACACTGGCACTTTACAGCGCTGCAACTTTCTTGCTCAGGAATGTGAAAAAACACCGCCCTGAGCACTGCAAGTTTCAGCGCTGTAGAGTGCCAGTGTAGACAGTGCACCAGCACTGGGAGCGCCCCTCATGGAGATGTTCTTTTTAGAGTGCTGGGAGAGCTCTCTACCAGTACTGGTGCGGCAAGCCACGTTAAAGCGTTGCAACAGCAGCGCTTTAACGCTGCCAGTGAAGACATGCCCCAAGTCACACATATGAAGGGGAATAACCTGTATCGGTATAAGGTAACATTATACTGGCATAGCTGTGTCTACACTAGGGCTTGTACCCACATAATTATTTTCATGAAAAACCAGAGCCCTGGCCGAGGGTTACACTGCAAAACCCCTGTGTGTAGCTCAAGCCTCACTTGCACAGACCCTTCGATCCTGGCCCGGTGCTGCATGAAGAGCAGCAGCTCCCCGCGCCCCTTGTTCTCTACATTTGTCTCTCCTTGCGCTGGAGAGGAATGAGCCGCACAACCCGCAAAGGGGCCTGGCTCGGGAGGGGGCGATGCCAGAGCGCGGGTGGGCACAGAGCGCGCTGCTGCCAGGTTCACTGGGCGAACCGAAGGGCAGAGCAGCTCTCCGAGGCAGGGGGCGGCCGCCGTTTAGCGGTGTGCCTACAGCGCCGAGCACACGGGGGCCAGGGCCCTGGCTCGGCCAATACAAGCAGGCCAGATGAGCTGTGGACGCTCCCTGCCGCCCGCAGCCGAGGGGGCACCGTTCCCTGACCCCTCCTCCTCACGCGTGCGATGCTTGCCCGCTGGGAGACCCTGAGCGGCAGCAGCAGAGCTCAGGCGGGCTCCCCTCACAGCCAGCGCGGCCCTATGCCCCGGACGAGACCCCGCCGGGTCACCTCCGGGCCTTCCGGGGTTGCGCGGCCCCGATCCTTCTTCCACGAGAAGGGGCATGGAGACCGGGGAGGGGGGAAGCAAGACAGGCCCTCCCCGCCCAGCTGCGTCACTCACCAGAGGGCCTCCAACTCGCTCGCCGAAAGGGGATAAAAACAACAGGAACTGACGTAAGCGCACGCGAGGAGCAGGATTGCGGAGGCGCATGCGCAGCTGCGTTCGCTGCAGAACTATCGTGCGGGGGAGGGGGCCGCACATGCGCCATTTGTGTTTCTGTGCCCAGCGTTCCCGGAGGGCGCATGCGTGCAACCAGCCAGCCACCGTCCCCTTCCTAGTGCTGAGGGTTTTCCCATCCGGGTTATTCGACCCGAACGGTGACTCCCGCCCCGCCCCGGAAGAAGCCGCTGGGTCTCGGGGCGGCGGCGGCGGCGGCTCCTTCCCTGTGGGGCTGAGCGCGGTAAGTGCGTTGGGCGGGACACCCACTCCCGGGGCACCAGCGGGGAGGACGGGCCGGGACACCCACTCCCCCGGCACCAGCGGGGAGGACGGGCCGGGACACCCACTCCCCC